TAACGCTCCACCCGCCAACCCTGAGGGACAGCTCAAGTTCCACTCCGACACAGGTGCTGATCCTGGGCCCAGGGAGAAAGACTAGGTTCCTTCCTCCCCCTTTCGAGGGAGGAGATACAGGGGTCTGGACTCCTGGGTTTGAAGGAGACCAGATGGTTCCTCCATCATTTCCAGATGATGTTCCTGTCCCAGCCCCGGCCGGTGACCAGAAGGGTGTAGAGGCTGCAGAACAGAAGGTTCCAGAGCAGTCCCCAGAGCTGCCCCAGCTGGATTCCCAGCATCCATGATCCTTTGGAGCTGAGGGGCCATGAGTTCCCACTGACAACAGCCGATGGCACATCACAAGGCTTCTCTGTGGACCAGCCCGGGGAGGGGACCCGAGGCATTTCAGGCATCGCTGCTTAGGCCCAGTGTCTGTCTTTATCTGCTAGCAGCTTTTATACTCTTCAAGTCTGCGGTCTCTTCTTTCTGTCCCTCTCCAAGGGACCTGCCTCTTCTTGTGTTCAGTCAGGGATTTGCTGTACCAGATGGGATTCAGGACCCCTCTCCCCCCACACACCCGTAAACCCCAGGGAGCATGAACTATAGGTCTGTCCTTCCTGCTGGTTGGCACTCAGCTTCCCAAACTGGGGACTCATCCTGTACCAGTCACAGGCTGCTGGGCCCGGTTCCTGGAGCCTTATGGTCCCTCCAGGCCTCCTCTGTGGGCCCAGAGAAGTCTCTATCTTGTGCAGAGGGATGCTAAGAGACACTACGCAACCTCAGCAGAACCACAATGCTGCTTTCCAAGGCCATACTCTCCCTGGGACCTTCACTTCCAGTTACCTCAGCTTCAGCCTCCTCCCTGACTTCCTGGCCCTGTTTGGCCCTGTCCCAGGTTCGGCTCGTAGGCTAGGAGTCAGGTCTGTCCACCTTTCTGTCTGCCTCTCCTTGCTGTTAGCTGCTATGTTCTATTCCATCCAAATACACAATTCAGAACAAATGTGTGCTCCTGTGTCTGTGTATACACACATAGTCCTGTTCCTTTTGCTTTGCCCATGCACGAGCTATAGTCCAGCCTCTCCTGCCCAAGTGGAAATTTGGCAAGCTCCACAGTGAAGTATATACTAGATCCAGGCATGATAGCTCATACCTCTAATCTTAGCTACTTAGGAGGCTAAGATCTGAGGATTATGGTTCGAAGCCAGCTCAGAAAGGAAAGTTCCTGTGAGACTCTTATCTCTGGTAAGCTACTCAGAAAAAGCTGGAAGTGCTGCTGTGGCTCAAGCAGTAGAGCTGTAGTCTTGAGCACAAAGAGACTCAGCAACAGCACCTAGGCTCTGAGTTCAAGTCCCAGGACCAGCAAAAAAATAAAATCACTAACAACACTAAAAAGCTGGAAGCAGTGCTGTAGCTCTAGTGGTAGAACACAAGTCTTTAGCTAAAAAGCTCAGGGACAGTACTCAGGCTTTCGGTTCAAGCCCCAGGACTGACACACACACACACACACACACATACAAAGTGGAGCTGTGGCTCAAATGGTAGAGTACCAGCCTTTGAGGGGGAAAAAGCTAAGAGCATGGAGGCTCTGAGTTCAAGTGGCAATACTGTCACAAAAACAAAAATAGTAGGCCTGGGTTGGAGGCATGCTTAAGGAAGACATAGCTCCTGCATAGCAGGCCGAGTTCAAACCCCAGAACTACCAAAAATAAACCGTGGCCCTTGATCTTCACTGTCCTATGGTAACACTGGTTCATGCCTGCTTTCAAGAGACAGTTGATCTTTACAAGCTGTTACGTCTGGTACCAAAGGCAACAAAAACTGGCACTTGAGTTTTATTGAGCCAATCTGTCAAACTCATAAAATGGCAGCAGTTCTTTCCCGGAATGCATCTGATAAGACTGCATAGGAACTGGGCACCAGTTGCTCTTCCTTGTAATCCTAGCTACTCAGGAGGCTGAGGTCTGAGGATCATGGTTCAAAGCCAGCCGGAGCATGAGACTCTTATCTCCAATGAACCACCAGAAAACTGGAAGTGGCACTGTGGCTCAAGTGGTAGAGCACTTGCCTTAAGCTGAAGAGATCAGGGACAGCACCTAGGCCCAGAGTTCAAGCCCCACAACTGACAAAAAAAAAAGGAAAGGTGTGGCTTCTGTCCTTAAGCCTGAATCACCCAGCAGCAGTCATTGGTATTTGAGAACTTGGCTTAGAGGTCTCAGGTGTGACCATTCCTGACCTCCTTTATCTAAGGTACCAGCAAATAAAACCTGCCAGGTGCTGGTGACTCATGCCTATAGTCCTAGCTACTCAGGAGGCTGAGATCTGAGGATCGAGGTTCTAAACCAGCCTGGGCAAAAAAGTTCCCATGAGACTCTTATCTCCACTGAACCACTCAAAAACTGGACAAGTGGTGCTGTGGTTCAAGTGGTAAAGCACCTAGCCTTGAGAGCACAAAAGGCTCAGAGACAGCGCCCAGGCCCTGAGTTCAAGCCCCACCATCGACCAAAAAAAAAAAAAAAAAACTTAAAATTTAAATTTCCCTTTCTGCAATAAGTAGAATAATGACTTTCTAATTTTTTTTGGGGGGGGAGGTCTGTTGTAGGCAGTAAACTCTAGGCCTGGGCGCTGTCCCTCAACTCTTCAGCTCAAGGCTAGCACTCTACCACTTGCACCACAGTGCCACTTCTGGTTTTCTGGTGGTTTATTGGAGATAAGAATCTCACAGACTTTCCTGCACAGGCTGGCTTTGAACCGTGATTCTCAGATCTTAGCCTCCTGAGTAGCTAGAATTACAGGCATGAGCCACCAGCACCTGGTTCCATTTTGTTTTGTTTCATTCTGGGCCTGGGTATTGTCCCTGAGCTCTTAACAGCTCAAAGGTAGTACTCTACCACTTTGAACCACAGCTCTACTTCGAGTTTAATTGGAGATAAGAGTCTCACAAACTTTACTGCCCAGGCTGGCTTTGAATCCCTCAATCCTCAGATCTCAGCCTCCTGAGTAGCTAGGATTACAGGGATGAGCCACCGGCACCCAGCTTTTTGGTCTCTCTTTCTTCCCGGCAGTGATGCTGTGTTCTAAAGATCATTTCCCTGTTCCTCCTGTGTGAACCTGGGAGCGATGACTCCCAGGATGACACCAAGGTGACACCAGGGTCTTAATTAAATGTCTGCAAGTTAAAGGAAATTGACTACTGATCTGTTGTGGGTGAACTTGGCCAGCCAGATGATAATTATAGTTTCTTATATTTTGCGTAATAGACCCCAGAGTGCTGACACAGGAAGATTAAGAGTTGCAAAACAGAGTTAAGAACTGGTAGTTCAGCCGGGTGCTGGTGGTTCAGGCCTATAATCCTAGCAACTCAGGAGGCTGAAATCTGAGGATCTTGGTTCAAAGCCAGCCTGGGCAGCAAAGTCCCTGAGACTCTTTTTTTTTTGGGGGGGTCCAGTCTTGGGGCCTGAATTCTGGGCCTCGGCGCTGTCCCTCAGCTCTTCAGCTCAAGGCTAGCGCTCTACCACTTGAGCCACAGCACCACTTCGGGCTTTTTTCTTTTTTCTTATGTGGTGCTGAGGAATCGAACCCAGGGCCTCTGGAATGCAAGGCATGTGCTCTACCACTGAGCCACCTTCCCAGCCCCTCTCTGAGACTCTTATCTCCAATAAAAACCACTAGAATTCTGGAAGTAGCGCTGTGGCTCAAGTGGTAGAGTGCTAGCTTTGAGCTGAAGAGCTCAGGGAGAGCACCCAGGCCCAGAGTTCAAGCCCCACGATAGACAAAAAAGAAAGAAAGAGAGAAAGACAGAGAGAGAAAATAAAACAACCATAGTTCATGCCTGTAATCCTAGCTACTCAGGAGGCTGAGATCTGAGGATCGCAGTTCAAAGCCAGCCCAGGCAGGAAAGACCATGAGACTCTTATCTCCAATAAACCACCAGAAAACCGAAAGTGGTGGTGTTACCCAAATGGTAGCGCACTCGCCTTGAACTGAAAAGCTCAAGGACAGGGCCCAGGCCCAGAGTTCAAGACCCACTACTGGGGGGCTGGGGTAGGGGGGAGAGAAAGAAACAAAAAGAAAAGAAAAACACAAGAAAAAGTAAAAAAGGACCCAGGATGTCAGATCTGTTACACCTTTTTTAGAAATTAGGAAAAGTGGGGCTGGGCTCAGTGATAGAGCGCTTGCCTTGCATGCATGAGGACCTGGGTTCGATTCCTCAGCACCACATAAGCAAAAGGAAAAAAGCCCGAAGTGGCGCTGTGGCTCAAGTGGTAGAGCGCTAGCCTTGAGCTGAAGAGCTGAGAGACAGCGCCCAGGCCCAGAGTTCAGACCCCACAACCGGACCCCCCCCCCCAAAAAAAAAAAGAAATTAGGAAAAGTCAAGCACTTAACTTGAATATTAATATTATAAATATTAATAATAATAATTATTTTTTGTTGGTTGTGGGGCCTGAACTCTGGGCCTGGGCACTGTCCCTCAGCTCTTCAGCTCAAGGCCAGCGCTCTACCACTTGAGCCACAGCGCCACTTCTAGCTTTTTCTGTTTATGTGGTGCTGAGGATTCAAACCTAGGGCTTCATGCATGCAAGGCAAGCGCTCTACCACTGAGCCACCTTCCCAGCCCTTAATAATTATTTCAATCATTTTTGATATTTCTTTCTCCTTTCTTCTAAGGCTGTGATTAACCTCCTTCCCCAACGTTAGTAGAGCCGTACTCTCCGCCCTTTGGACTTGCTTTGTTTTTTTAAGATAAGCCTCACTCTTCGGCCGAGTGGCCTTCCTCCAACTGATAAATAGTAATCGTCTGTAACTATGCTGTTATTGCTTCCGTCTTCAGCGGAGAGCGCCAGGTCCCGTCGTCCCCACTCGGGTGGATGGAGTTGATAAACAAGACAACCACGCCCACAGTAGGCAGGACCCAGTAGCGTGTTTATCCAATGGGACACTGGACCCCAATTTCGTCCCTTTGCTTTCAGCCAATGAGAAACGTCGATGGAGCCCTAGGGGGCGTGGCCTTTCGCGTCCAAGTACCCTCCCACCATGGCGCTGCGTTGGGGCATCGTGTCAGCCGGCCTCATAGCCAGCGATTTCACCACTGTGCTGGGCACGCTTCCTCGCTCCGACCACCAGGTCCGCCATCCAAGCCCTTGTCTCCTTGGGGGGGAGCCCGAGGTCGGGGCGACCTCCAGGGACTGAGGGAGGAGGGGAGGAGAGGACCCCTAAGGTTTCCCTGAGGGCTTCTCTTCCTCTGTCCTGTGAGGTCTGGGGCCTTAAAAGTTGGGAGGGTCAGTGGGGCGCTGGTGGTTCATTCTGTAATCCCAGCTACTCAGGAGGATGAGATGTGAAGAAAGTCCCTGAGACTTTTATCTCTAACCAGCGAAAAGCTGGAAGTGGAGCTGTGGCACAAGTGGTAGAGCGTCAGCCTTGAGCAAGAAAGAAAGAAAGAGAGAGAGAGAGAGAGAGAAAGAGAAAGAAAGAGGGCTGGGAAGGTGGCTCAGTGGTAGAGTGCTTACCTTGCATGCCTGAGGCCCTGGTTTGATTCCTCAGCACCACATAAGCAAAAAGAAAAAAGCTGGAAGTGCTGCTGTGGCTCAAGTGGTAGAGCGCTAGCCTTGAGCTGAAGAGCTGAGGGACAGCGCCCAGGCCCAGAGTTCAGGCCCCATGACCGGACCCCCCAAAAAAATAAAATAAAAATAAAAACGTTGAAAGAAAGAAAGAGAGAGAGAGAGAAAGAAAGGAAGCAAGCTCAGGGACAGTGCCTAGGCTCTGAGTTCAAACCCCAGGAACAGCACACAAAACAAAAATTGATCAGGGGAGGGTCTTGGTTTAAGTGCTAAGGTAACAAGAAATCATTCTAGAGAGCTTAGGGGATTTAGGCCGTCTTTCCCAGACCACTCCCCTGAATCAAGTATCCAGGAGAAACATCCCCCATAGCTGCACCCTCTCACCTTGAAGGTCCTCACTCCCGGGCCTTCCCTTCTTACCTGCCTCCCACCCATTTGTCTTCTGTACCTGCCCAAGCTTCTGAGTCTGACCCTGGTTCCCCTCCAGGTGGTGGCAGTGGCCGCGCGCGATCTGAGCCGGGCAAAGGAGTTTGCCAGAAAACACGACATCCCCAAAGCCTATGGCTCCTATGCGGAACTGGCCAAGGACCCCAACGTGGGTGAGTGGGGAACTCACTATGTACGCTGAGCAGACCTCAAGAGAGGCCTTAGATTTTCCATTGCCAGGATTACAAGTGTGTACCTGTCTGAAGTGATAACATTAGCTTAGTCTTTCCACTCTTTTTCTTTTTAGGAAAGGGTCTCACTATATAGTAATCAAGTTGGCTTTGACTGGTTCTCTTCCTGTGAAAGTCTAGGGATGCTGGGGCAAGGCCCCTAATGACTTGGGTCCTGTGCAGGGTCTTTGGTGGAGAGGGCTGCTGACTTCCAGACTTCCTTCCATTCTAGAGGTAGTCTATGTTGGTACTCAGCACCCCCAGCACAAGGATACCGTGCTACTTTGCCTGGCAGCCGGCAAGGCTGTCCTGTGTGAGAAGCCCATGGGTGTGACTGCTGCAGAAGTCCGGGAGATGGTTGCCGAGGCTCGATCCCGAGGCCTCTTCCTTATGGAGGTGAGGTTAGAAAGCCCTGCTTAATGCCCAGCACAACACTGCTTGCCATTACTAAAGATTGTTGCCACTGATCATTTCTTTGGAGGAATGCAGGAATTTGCCAATGGTTAAGATAGCTGCAGACACAGAGCCAGGTCAGTGTGTTTGACCGGATGTGGCTGAATCTCCTTGGCAGCACGTATTGAAAGTTGGGCCCCAAATCTCTTCCTCTCCACTTGGAGCAGGCCTTTGGCTTCAGGATGAATTGTTTGGCAAGAAAAAAGCTTTGGAAAGCTGGCAAACCAGAGGAGACGGAGACAATTGCCAACAAGACCTAAGGGTTTCAGGGAAAAAGACTTAAAAAAAATAAATGTTAGTACTGGGGTTTGAACTCAGGGTTCAAATGGGACCTACGATGCTCTGGAAGAGAGGGGGACCCCTTTTGGAGTTTTGGGAGTAGTGAGTACCCCACCAAGACTCGGATCCCAGCTGGGCACTGGTTGCTCATATCTGTAATCCTAGCTACTCAAGAGGCTGAGATCTGAGGTTCATGGTTCCAAGCCAGCCTGGACAGCAAGGTCCACAAGTCTCTTTTCTCCAATGAACTCCTAAAAAAGCCAGAAGTGGAACTGTGGTTCAAGCTCTAGCTAGCTAGCCTTAAGCAAAAGTAGTAGCTCAGGGGTAGTCTCTAGGCCCTGAGTTCAAGCCCCAGGACTGCCATGCATGCATGTGCACATGTACACGCGCGCGCGCGCGCACACACACACACACACACACACACACACACACACACGACTGCGACCCTAGCAAGGTGGACAGCTTAATCTGAGTCTTTTTTGTTGGTTGTGGGGCTTGAACTCTGGGTCTGGGAGCTGTCTCTCAGCTCTTCAGCTCAAGGCTAGTGCTCTACCATTTGAGTCACAACACCACTCCCAGTTTTCTGTTTTGTTTTTTTTGTTTTTGGGTCCAGTCGTGGGGCCTGAACTCTGGGCCTGGGCACTGTCCCTCAGCTCTTCAGCTCAAGCCTAGTGCTCTACCACTTGAGCCACTGTGCCACTTCCAGCTTTTTTCTTTTTGGCTTATGTGGTGCTGAGGAATCGAACCCAGGGCCTCATGCATGCAAGGCAAGCGCTCTACCACTGAGCCACCTTCCCAGCCCCACTCACAGTTTTCTGAGTGCTTTATCGGAGATAAGAATCTCATGAACTTTCCTGCTCAAGCTGGCTTTGAACCATGATCCTCAGATCTCAGCCTCCTGAGTAGCTAGGTTGACTTGTGTGAGCCACCAGTGCCCAGCTCATCTGAGTCTTTTTTTTTTTTTTTTTCTGGTCGTGGGGCCTGAACTCTGGGCCTGGGTACTGTCCCTCAGGTCTTCAGCTTAAGGTGAGCACTCTACCACTTGAGCCACAGTGCCACTTCTGGCTTTTTCTGCTTATGTGGAGCTGAGGAATCGAACCCTGGGCCTCATGCATGCAAGGCAAGCACTCTACCACTGAGCCACCTTCCCAGCCTCATCTGAGTCTTGACCCTTTCCCTGTCCTTTCTTCTTCCCTCTATGATCTGCAGGCCATTTGGACCCGATTCTTTCCTGCTGTGGATGCTCTGAAGTCTGCTTTGGCCCAGGGAATTGTGGGAGACCTTCGAGTGGCTCGGGCAGAATTCGGGTTTAATCTAACCCATGTACCTCGGGCCATAGATGCAGCCCAGGCTGGTGGCAGCCTGCTGGACCTGGGTATCTACTGTGTCCAGTTTATCTCCATGGTCTTCAATGGGCAGAGGCCTGAGAAGATTTCAGCTGTGGGACGGTTGTATGAGACAGGTACCATTGGTACTGGACTATTTGATGGAGGGAACGTAGACATGAACTTCTCCTTGAGATTCCCAAGGCAGAAACAATTCTCCCCCCATCTAAAAACATCAGATTAGTAGGTATTTTCAAAAGCCCTTCTCATGGTTTTTTTTTTTTTTTTTTTTGGTCAGTCATAGGGCTTGAACTCTGGGCCTCGGCTCTACTACTTGAGCCACAGCACCACTTCTGGTTTTTTGATGGTTAATTGGAGATATGAGTCTCATGGACTTTCCTGCTCAGGCTGGCTTTGAACCGCAATCCTCTGATCTCAACCTCCTGAGTGGCTAAGATTACAAGCGTGAGCCATCCGTGCCCAGCAATTGTGGCCTTTTATTCTTTTTCATTTCCACTTAAGAGGTATAGTTTCCAGCCCAAAGTTCCACAGGCAAGATTTGAGGCCTGGACGGCATACCCTTAGCAAGCCAACCCTGCCCTCATGGCGACTTCCTTCCACTCAGGTGTGGATGACACTGTCAGTGTGCTGCTTCAGTACCCAGGAGGGGTCCACGCTAGCTTCACCTGTAGCATCACTGCTGAGCTCTCCAACACAGCGTCCGTGAGCGGGACCAAGGGCATGGCTCAGGTGAGGTACCACAGGTCCTATTGTGGGGCATCGTGGAGGAAGAGCAATCAGAGAGTGATTATGGCTACTGGAGTTGGATATGAGCTGAAGCTGCCAGTTTTCAACCCATAGCTATCGATTCTATGTTTGTTTGGTTTTGTTTTGTGGGGGGGGGGGTCCAGTCGTGGGGGCTGAACTCTGGGCCTGGGCACTGTCCCTCAGCTCTTCATCTCAAGGCTAGCGCTCTACCATTTGAGCCACAGCACCACTCCCTGCTTTTTCTGCTTCTGTGGTGCTGAGGAATTGAACCCAGGGCCTCATGCATGTGAGGCAAGCACTCTACCACTGAGCCACCTTCCCAGCCCAGATTCTGTTTTTTTTTTTTTTTTTTTTTGTCGGTCGTGGGGCTTGAACTCTGGGCCTGGGCGCTGTCCCTCAGCTCTTCAGCTCAAGGCGAGTGCTCTACCACTTGAGCTACAGCACCACTTCTGGTTTTCTGGTGGTTTATTGGAGATAGGAGTCTCATAGTCTCTCCTGCCCGGGCTGGCTTTGAACCGAGATCCTCAGATCTCAGCCTCCTGAGTAGCTAGGATTACAGGCGTGAGCCACCAGCGCCCGGCCCCAGATTCTGTTTTTGACAGCTGTGATGTTCATGCTTGGGAGGGGGGATTGCCTGAGCATTAATGTATTGATAGATCAAGTATCCTTAGGCCTGAGAAGAAACTGCTGTGTCTGTGTATGCATGTGCATGCCAGTCCTGAGGCTTGAACTCAAGACCAGGGTGAAGCTTTTGCATTCAAGGCTGGTGCTCTACCACCTGAGTCACAGCTCCACTTCTTGCTTTTTTGATAGCTTATTGGAGATAAGAGTCTGTGAGGGGGCTGGGAAGGTGGCTTAGTAGTAGAGTGCTTGCCTTGCATGCATGAGGCCCTGGGTTTGATTCCTCAGCACCACATAAGCAAAAAGAAAAAAGCCAGAAGTGGTGCTGTGGCTCAAGTGGTAGAGCGCTAGCCTTGAGCTGAAGAGCTGAGGGCCAGTGCCCAGGCCCAGAGTTCAGGCCCCACAACCGGATCCAAAACCAACAAGAAAAAGAGTCTGTGAGACTTTCCTGCCTGGGCAGGTTTCAAACCATGATCCTCAGATCTGAATGTCTTGAGTTGCTAGGATTATAGGCATGAGCCACTGGCACCAGGCAGCAGAGCTATGTCTTAATCCTTCCAGATTCAGAAAAGCTGGTGCCCAACAGAGCTGGTGTTGAATGGTGTGCGTAAGGAGTTCCCCCTGCCAGAAGTCCCAAACAAGGTGTACAACTTTATAAATGGGACAGGCATGACTTATGAGGCCGAACATATCCGAGAGTGTCTGCGCAAGGGTAAGGATCTGGTGGATATCATTGGAGGGGAGGAAGAGTAAGCATAGCCAGATGACGTTGGGTTCCACCCAAGTCCCCTAAATACTCCCAGTTCCCCTAGCTATGTAGAACTACATCTCCCACAATGCCACAGGACAACCATCTACCTAAACCCTGGTGTATGCCTATGCCATGGGACTCTGGGAATCCAGAATCCCACAGTTCTTTTGGTCTCAATGTATGGTTAGGAGCATTCCCTAATCTGTCTCTCCCCTCCCACTCTCTGTCTCTGTCTCTTTTTTTTTTTTTTGTCGGTTGTGGGACTTGAACTCTGGGCTTGGGCGCTGTCCCACAGTTCTTCAGCTCAAGGCCAGTGCTCTACCGCTTGAGCCATAGCACCGCTTCCGGTTTTCTGAGTGGTTTATTGGAGATAAGAGTTTCATGGACTTTCCTGCTTGGGCTGGCTTTGAATTGCGATCCTCAGATCTCAGCCTCCTGAGTAGCTAGGATTACAGGCATGAGCCACCAGCGCTGGCTTCTGTTTTTTTCTTCTCAGTCCTCTCGCTCTCTCTTTCCTGCCTCCAGGTCTGAAGGAAAGTCCTGTGATTCCTCTAGCAGAAAGTGAGCTGCTGGCTGACATCCTTGAAGAGGTGAGAAAGGCCATTGGAATCACTTTCCCCCAAGACAAATACTGAGACGTGCCCTCCATAAATAAAAACATGGTTTCTGTAGAGATTGTCTATGTTGGTGGTGTTTGGGGAGGAGCTTACTTTTTTTCAAATGATGTTGGAAGAGAAGAGAGGGGTGAGGACAACCCTCCTGCAGACACCTGCAGGAGATAAAGGACTGCAAAGCCTTGAGTTCAAGCCATTTACTGATATACACACACAAAATAGACCCCTTCTCAACCTCTAGTTGTGTGCAGTTGCTACAATAGGAAGCCTAAAATAAGTGGATCAGTGTCCAGGCACTCAACACAGGTAGGAAGTGAGACTCTGGTACACATTAGAGCCCTGTATGCTGATCTAAGGCTTGATTTTAACATCAGTACTGACAAAAGCAAGCAAGCAAGCCAACAAAAGCCAAACAGGAAACACAATTTCTTTCCTTGGCTTGCTTTCTTCACTGAGAAACTTTCTTCTCTCAAATCATAAACTGTTGGAAATTCTATCCATAGAAATGAAACATTTCAGGCTGGGAAGGTGGCTCAGTGGTAGAGTGCTTGCCTTGCATGCCTGAGGCCCTGAGTTCGACTCTTCAGCACCACATAAGCAAATAGAAAAGAGCCGGAAGTGGCGCTGTGGCTCAAGTGGTAGAGCGCTAGCCTTGAGCTGAAGAGCTGAGGGAAAGCGCCCAGGCCCAGAGTTCAGGCTGGTGGCTCATGCCTGTCATCCTTGCTACTCAGGAGGCCGAGATCTGAGGATCGTGATTGGAATCCAGCCCACGCAGGATACTCCATGAGACTATTTTTTGGTTGTGGAGCCTAAAGTCTGGGCCTGGGTGTTGTCCCTCAGCTCTTCAGCTCAAAGTTAGCACTCGACCACTTGAGCCACAGGGCCACTTCCAGCTTTTTCTGCTTATGTGGTGCTGAGGAATCGAACCCAGGGCCTCATGTATGTGAGGCAAGCGCTCTACCACTGAGCCACCTTCCCAGCTCCATCATGAGACTCTTATCTCCAATACACTATTCAGAAAAAGTGAGAAGTGGCACTGTGGCTCAGGTGGTAGGGTGCTGGCCTTGGGAGGCTCAGGAACAACCCCCAGGCCCTTAGTTCAAGCCCCACGACTGGGAAAAATAAAACACATATCCTTGTTGCCCTAAGGCTGGAAATCACGTGATACCTCCATTGTTTTCCAACAAAAGCACAGAACATCACATAAACAGTACACACACACACACTCAGAGTAATTTCAGTAAACTTCCCATTTTATGTGTACCGCTGAATGAATATTACACATATGTACATACAAACCACCATAGTTTAAGACTTTCCTTCCCCAGGCTGGCGTTAAACTGCAATCCTCATTTCTCAGCCTCTTGAGTAGGTAAGCTTATTGAGTAGCTAGCCATAGGTACCCACCTTCCCCCACCACCTTCAGTTTTCTTTTTGAGGCATGGGCTTGCTGGGTCGTCCATGCTGGATGAAAACTCACTATATAGCCCACGTTAGTCTGGAATTCACAGACCTCTTGATACTGGGATTGCAGGAGTGAACCACCACTTCTGAGCTAGTTCTACACCTTTTGCACTACATTTTCTGTTCATTTTGCTGCTAACACATAGAACCACTCAGAAGTTTCTTGTGATTGTCTTGGCTGGATGCTGAGTGTCCCAGCCGTGGCACACGCTTGTACAGATTGTGCACAAATACATGCACGAGTTAATGAAGGAATGAAGGACTGACCGCGTCAGTGAAAGCTTGAGTCCATAAAAAGGGGCAACTGACAGTAAAGGGTGGGAGTCGATGGGCGGAGCCCGGCATGGGTAACGCCCAGCTTTCCTATGGAAGGCGTTGATTGGACAGTGCAGTGACAGCGGCCACACCCCCTCCCGAGGGCCGGCCGGCTGACGCGGTCACGTGACCCCCGCTCTACTGGGCAGCGGCCATTTTGCGGGGCGCCCACGTGTGGGGCGCACGTTCAGCGGGTCGTCACGTGACCGGGGCGCGCTGCAGCCGCCCGGGCGGACCCGGCGAGAGGCGGTGGCGGCAGTGGCGGTGATGGACGGATCCGGGGAGCAGCCCAGAGGAGGCGGTGAGGCGGGAGGCGGGAGGTGCAGGGCGGGGGTGGGGCGGGGGGCCGGGGGGCGGGGGCAGGGCGAGGCCCGTCGCCAGCCATCGCTGGAACCCCGGCTGTGGGGTCGGGGGCCGTGCGATCCCCCCCAGATCTCCGGGACAGAAACTCTCTGACCGCGTTCTGCCCGCCTCCCGGGCCCTCCCTCCTTCGCTTCCTCCTTCACCGGCCTCCGGCGCCCCTACCCTTTTCTGCCTGGAGCCCCCGGGTCCCCAGCCACCTGGGGATCCCACGATCCAGGCCCACCCCGGGCAGGCCCGGGCTTGTCGCCGGCACTTCCTGCCTGTGGCCCTGGTGGGAGGGGCTGGTCTCACCTCTGCCCCCTCTGCTAAGTGTCCCCTAGCTTCATCCCCTGGAAGAATCTAGGATACTGGCCTAGGCTCCCGCCCCGGACCCCATCCATCAGGGACTCACTAGCCTGGGCTCTCAGGCCCCACAGCCTGTCCTCCTCCAGGAACCATGAGTCGTCCCCCTCCTTCCCCGCACTCCCATGCCCCAGCACCCCCGAGTCCAGCCACCTCTTCTCCTTCCTTTCTCCTCTAGGGCCCACCAGCTCTGAGCAGATCATGAAGACAGGGGCCCATTTGCTTCAGGGGTGAGTTTGAGGTGTGATTCTTGGGCAGATTTCCGGGGTGACTCCCTATTCTGATTCCCCCTCCCTTCCCCATCCCCCGACTCCATTCCCAACCTAGTTTCATCCAGGATCGAGCAGGGCGGATGGGTGGGGAGACACCGGAGCTGGCCTTGGAGCAGGTGCCTCAAGATGCGTCCACCAAGAAGCTAAGCGAGTGTCTCAAGCGCATCGGGGACGAACTGGACAGTAACATGGAACTACAGAGGTGTGGATCCCCAGCCTCTGGAACCCAGGGTCCCTCCCACTTCAGAACCCAGGAACCCCGCCCCAACATCCTTGTCTTGCCACAAGAGCTAGGAGTCTAGGCCCCACCACTCAACTCATTCTGGACTCAGTTCTTCCCTCCCTCAGGGGCTGTGGTTGATTGTGTGCCTAGCACTAAGAGTGCTGCTCATTAGTTTTTTTCCCTATGAGGCTGGTAGCTGTACCACTTGAGCCACACCTCCACTTCTAGTTTTTTTGCTTCTTGGCCTGGCTCTGAGCTGCCATCTTCGGATCTCAGCATCCTGTGAGCCATCCTGAATTGATGGGGTTTTTGTTCTGTTGTGGTTGTTTTTGGTCGATTGTGGGGCTTGAACTCTGGGCCTGGGTGCTGTCTCAGCCCTTCAGCTCAAGGCTAGTGCTCTACCACTTGAGCCACAGCGCCACTTCTGGCTTTTTCTGTTTATGTGGTGCTGAGGAATCGAACCCAGGGCCTCATGCATGCAAGGCAAGCGCTCTACCACTGAGTTCCATTCCCAGCCCGATTGTTTTTTTTTTTGTTTGTTTTGAGAGTCTTGCTATATGCGCCAGCCTTCCAAGTGCCGGGATTCTCCAGGACCTTGGAACCCTCCTTCCAGGAGTCATTTTCTCTGCTTTTTTTCTTTTTTTTTGCCGGTCGTGGGGCCTAAACTCTGGATCTGGGCGCTGTCCCTCAGCTCTTAAGCGCAAGACTAGCTCTCTATCTACCACTTGAGCCACAGTGCCACTTCTGGCTTTTTCTGCTTATGTGGTACTGAGAGCCTCATGCATGCAAGGCAAGCACTCTACCACTGACCCACCTTCCCAGCCCCTCTCTGCTTTTTTTTTTTTGTTGTTGTTGTTGGTAATGAGGCTTGAACTCTGGGCCTGGGCGCTGTCCCTCAGCTTTCAGCTCAAGGCAATCGCTCTACCACTTGAGCCACGGCGCCACTTCCAGTCTTCTGGTGGTTAATTGGAGATAAGAGGCTCACAGACTTTCCTGCTCTGGTTGGCTTTGAACTATGATACTCAGATCTCAGCCTCCTGAGTAGCTAGGATTATAGGCATGAGCCACCAGCACCCAGCATGTCCCAGCGCTTCTTTTGCCAAGGCTAATACTATACCACTTGAGCCACAGTGCTACTTCTGGCCTTTTCTGTGTATGTGGTACTGAGGAATCGAACCCAGGCTTTGTGCATGCTAGGCAACCACTGTATCACTAAGCCACATTCCCAACCCTCTCTACTTTTCTAAAGGTCCCATTGGCAGAGTCTGGGTCCTACCTCAGTTTCCTTCACTATTTTTTTTTTGCCAGTCCTGGGGCTTGAACTCGGGACTTGGCACTGTCCCTGAGTTTCTTTTTGCTCAAGGCTAGCACTCTGCCACTTGAACCATGGTGCCACTTCCATCTTTTTCTGTTTATGTGGTACTGAGGAATCGAACCTAGGGCTTTGTGCATGCTAGGCAAGCACTCTACCATTAAGCCACATTCCTAGTCCTTCCTTCACTTATGAATAGAGAAGATGCTGGAAGTCCTATCCCTCACCTGACCCACCCTTCCCCAGCATCCATCCTCTTTCCTGCAGGATGATTGCCGCTGTGGACACAGACTCCCCCCGCGAAGTCTTTTTCCGAGTGGCAGCTGAAATGTTTGCTGATGGCAACTTCAACTGGGGCCGAGTTGTCGCTCTTTTCTACTTTGCCAGCAAACTGGTGCTCAAGGTGGGCAGTGGGCTCAGGGGTGCCCTCCTCAGACCCTGGGGTCACCTCTTACTGCAGCCAGTGACCTTGAAGGGAATGGAGACACCACTGTGGACTGTCTGGCTTCGCTTATTCATTCTGTGCTGGGTAAACTGTGTGGGCCTGTACTTGGCACCAGATACAACACAGAACCATGAAGTGTGGGTCCCTTATCACTTGGAGCTCAGATCCTAAGATAGGGGATGAGGTGAAGTAACACAGACTGAGGTGATAGAGTAAACTGGTCAGAAAAGATTTTTTTTATCTGGTCGTGGGGTCTGAACTCTGGGCCTGGGTGCTGTCCCTGCACTCTTCAGCTCAAGGCGAGCGCTCTACCACTTGAGCCA